GCTCAGCCATTTAGCCAGAAATAAAAGTACAGACGGACCGACAGACAGACCCATATCATCGACCTTTGTATTTCTGTCAAGAAAGGGGGGGGGGCATTTTTTACTCTAGTATAATGTAATACCTCCCTTAATTACTAACGTACGGCTGGTAAAAAGTGAATAAAAAATGTCAAAAGATTTTTAATGCCTTGAACCTTAAGGTTCATAACAGTTGGTAGAGGTCTTCTCTCCCACCAAGATTGATGCTTGCTAGGCAAGGCAATTACATAAAAATCCTAGTTTCAATCTCGTAAGTAAATGCAAAACCAGGGTTTGAATCTAGGCATCAATTGCAAGATTATAAGCTGTATACACTGTCCTAGGTAAGATTGTCTATCATGGGGGTCTCGGAAACCATAGAAGATGCGAAAATGGTAAAATTATGGAAAATTATGCGTAATTAAAGAGTAAATATCATGCTTGAAAGAAAACCAGAAAATTCGGCTTACTTGTGAAGATATGTGCCAGAAAAACCGAAATTTACCAATCTTGTTTTAATTTTTTTTTACTTTATTTGAACAGATGCAAAAAATAAAAAAAAACACTTTCCCAATGCTCATTGAGGTCTACAGCGTTGAGAGATGTTTTTTTTCGGGGAAATCATTAAGTTTATTTTTTTATATGGCCTGTGGAAAAAGTACATGCAGTACTGAGTAGCATTTTTTATTACAAATACAACGATGCGTACATCGCAAAAAACAAAAGTTGGAAACTGATTTTTTCCACAGTATTGTTCACCGCGCACAACGCCACAATCGTGTGAGAATACCTTTTGGACAAATTTTCCAGTTTCCTTGACCACTGCATAATATTACCAATGCACCCAAAGAAAGATAGTAACAGTGAAATCCTCCTATAATATAATAATTATTGGTAAGTGATCAGCCAAATTGACTGAAGAAACTACGAGAGAAACTATATCCTGTGCTTTAATATTTATAACTTATAGCAGTAAACAAAGCACTGTAATTACTTGGATTTGAATTTATGAATGAAGGAACATAGCTTTTGATATTTCGTAAATCCTACTCGAATCCACTTCTTTCTTCTTTATCTTGCCTATATGTGAAGAGTTTCCAAGCGGCCTCCCCTATCGGCTACGAAGTTCACCGGTGGCCTTACCTGTACTATTTTAAATTGCCTCTGCACGGAACGAAAAAGTTTTGTGAAATCCCAGTGGGTCACTTCTTGGGAGATCCGGTGGTACCCCTTATCTTCCAAGTTCACTCTGAATTGATTGCGTTTTTCTTACTATCGACTCTCGAATAAGTTAAAAAACATTTAGAAAATCAAATTTTTGTTTAAACAATATAACAAATTTCTTGAAATGGGGAGGTTTTTGATTTTGAATACTACTAAAAAACCGCATTTTAAAAAAAAATTATCAAATTGGAAATTTGGAATTTGGAAAACAACAAAGAACTATGTCATTTGGAGAAACATAAAATCAAAGTTGTTCACAACAACACAAGGACTAAGACAAGGAGGAGGCTTCAGCCCAACCCTTTTTAACATCTATATTGATGACATAGTGAGAAATTCCAACAGCAAAGTAAAATAGACAATTGTTGGATATAGGAATATGAACAGAGTACTTTTATCACACTGTGCATTTGCGGATGATATAGCCATATAGCCATATTAGCAAACACCGACAAAGATCTTCATTCTTAAACATCGGTCTGGAACCAAGAACTAGAAGACAATGGTATGAAAACAAACAGAACAAAAACAAAAGTAATGTTGCCAACATCTAAGGAACTAAACATGAACATCAAAATTAGGGGCACAAAAATAGAACAAGTCTTGGAACAAGTGAAGCAGTTTAAATAATGAAAAATTTAGACATCACCATGTTGTAAAATAATTCGCCATTTGTGGGTGAGAGCATGAATCCCTCGGCGAGCGCGAAGAGATTTTCGGTATGAAGCATTTGAATTAGTTGTTTAGTTTCCGAACGATAGTTTTGAATAATATGAACAGAAAAGTAAGTTTGTCGTGTAAAGTTGCGTTGTAATATACACAAAGTATTATCATTAATGCGATAAACCGAAATGGAAACTTAAAAGTATGTGTAAAGTCGCAAACCTTAATAAAAGAGACGAAACTGAATGTATTGACTGAACGAGTGTATCATTACGCGTTAAAGAAAAACTGCGTCGGATTGGTAGTGTTGTGGAAAACTTTATTTAAATAGTACATAAGAGTAGCGAAACTGTCAACATTTCAACAATAAAGTTAGTTCAATCGGTCCCATTGTTGGAAACGTTTTATAATCGTATTTTTATGCAACTGCTTACTGAGGATTCCTTTTTGCAATTTTTTATATGGGGGTGGTACAAGTTGGTTAAATTGAGTTTGTCTATCCGCCATTGTTAATAATAATCATTTTCGAAAAAAAATAAATCAAAATGGTTCCCAAAATGCCGGTATTTTTATGACTTGATGATATTTTAATAGCAAATTATCGAAATTTTTTGAGTGCAGAGAAGTATTAATAGGTAGGTAATTTAATTTTACAAATAGAACGCCAAATATTCTTTACACACCGTTTTAAACACGCGCGTAATTACGTAAGGAGCTTCTAGCACGGCGACAACGCGAATCTGTTGGCTACAGATGCAACAAACGCTTGGCAAGTTTTAACTAGTTTCAATAATATGCCCAATTCTTGACAGAACAGCTTCCTAGCTGAACTCCACCTTTTAACGTCTTCGAACGCTTTTTTCGAGGCTTTTTTACTCTTCTTTGTGTTACTAATACTTATTACTAATAATTCATATATTGTCTAAAGTTTAAACACAAAGCTTTCTATTCTTACACTATGGTAGGGGGTACGGATATAGAAAGATATTAAAGAATTTGAGAGTTTTACATCCTTTATGCATTATGCCTAATGTACATTTGCAAAATTTTAATGAAATCATAGTAACCGTTTTTGCGAACAATTTTGTTTTTCCGCAAACGTAAAAAACTATTGCCGACTTCTTTTTTCTCCCAGACTTGCCACAAAAAGTTACACTTTTACTCCTTTGAATGTTACAATATACTATTACGTCCACCGAATTTGGCTCATAATTTGACATTTGGAATTAAGATTTAGTCATTTAAAGTTTGTAAATTGCACCACATAAGCTCTCTACTTGACTTCTTACGTACCGGATACTCGGGTACTTAGTTCAAAAAGATAATTAATTTGTTGAATTGTCAAAATTTTCTTTCACCATAACAACCGCAACCCACAGCAATCTAGTTTTAAATTTTTCAACATTTAACAGCCTTAATTCTATCGTTTGAACAGCGTTTAATGAGCACTTTTTGTGGCGCGTCGTTACACTTTTACTCCTTATAAAACAATATACTATTAGTTTTTTAACTTTGACATTTTTTTCTCAGTTTTTTTATGATAAAACCTGGCACAATTTTTGTAGGTTATATACAGAAAAATAAGGTCTTTAAAATACGTCAATAAAAATTTTAGGTTGCTATTTGAAAAAAAAAGTTCGATACCGTTTCGGCGCTCCAACATTTTTTTCAAAAATCCGGCTTGTTATTTTTCGTTTCCGTTTGTCTAATAGACATATCCAAAATTTGACCAAAATCCGTCGAGCCGTTACCTACGCACGCACGTACATACAGACGGAAATAGTTATTTGTACAACTAGAGAAGAAAGTGTAGTTTTTCAACTCCAGTTCAAAGAGAGTTAAAAAACACTTTCTTCTCAAGTTTTACACATATTTTTTTCTGAAACTACAATCAAAATTGAAAAATTATCGTAAGCAATAATGGAGTTTGACACATACCAATCGAGATACGGGTGTTTCAATTTTAAATGTAATTATTAAGATTAACGCAGCAATTGTTTTTACTTTCCTCACTAGAGAAGAAAATCACATTTACTTCACCGTTTTTAGAGACGAATGTAGTTATTTCTAAAGTAGTACAGAAAAATAATATACTGTCTCTTTCTCATTTTTTCCGCTCTACAATACAGCCTTGGCCCTTGGGGGATTTTTAATACAACGTTTCGCGGCGGAAAATCATCTTCAACCTTATTATTTATATGGCTTATAAACAAGTACGTATTGCGTAACATTTTTATTACGCATACAACGATGTACGACATATAAAAAACAAAAGTTGGAAATTGTGAGTTTCAACAGGATGATGCACCCGTGCAATAATGCGAGATTACCTATCGGACAAATTTCCTGGAAAAGGGAAAATTACGACGTTGTGCGTAACATAAAATTCGAAAAATACCTTTAAATGAAATATGAAGGGCACTTACCAATCAAAGAGCTGTAAATTTTCCCGATTTTATTGTGCCAAACGCCCCTGTACTGACTTTGTTGTGGTACTTGGAATTCCGTTCCTGTCAAATCCAGATACAACTGATACAAGAAATAATCGTGGTTTTATATTGGACCTAAAATAGACCTAAATTGCCACGTAGGAGTTACACATTTTCTTACATGGTCTAGTCCGTTTATAAAGTGCTTCTGATACTTTAACTCACGCGATCATTTCTTTGACTATTTATCATTGTAAATAGGTATAAATGGTAGGATTTCTCATAGGATTAATTTGAAAAGCGAGCATATATAAGTAGGTAACTCGTAATGTAGGTATGTAAATAATTGTATGCTTCTTCACGATATCTACATTGTAATTATACACCCGTTCATGTCTACGAACTAAAATTAGTACCTACCTATTCGTAGACACAGACGAACGCAATTATTTCCAGAAATTTCAGAGCTATTCAAATAAGTCATAGACAAAAGAAGACCGCCGCAATTTTGTCTCTTTTGATTGTAATAGGAACGCAATCAGCCCGTAATTCTTTGATGGAAAACTAATTTATTTTCATGTATATTTTAATTAAACATCGCAGATGGTTTTCGAATTGTGCAATAGAAGATATTAGCGGTATCGAAAGGAATCTCAGTATACATACCTGCAATCCTATGAAGCTCTCCAAATATCATTAAAAGTATGTAAATCGCTTTTAGACCCATCGTAGATAATGGGGAGGTCAAACGCATTTTAGTTTAAGCGACTTTCACCTTAACCACCAACACACTAGTCATGAAACAATTCATGGATAATTCATTTATTTTTCACTACAAAACCGGCGTTAAGTCACAACGTTAGAAATGTCACAATTCTTCATACTGCCAGCACTACCGTATTCCAAAATTAATTAAATGAGCGCTAATTAAAGTATCAAAATTGGTTAAGGAAGTTCACATTTTTCTTCTATATAAATGAGTCAAAGATGAATTGTAAATTTACAGTTCCTTTACTAAGAATTTAGGTCACCGGTGTGCACTCTTCTCTTATTTCTTTTTGATTAAAAATGCGCCAGTTTAACAATTATAATTTACTGAAATTATTTAAGACGTTGCACTGTCTTATTTAACTGCACTATACATTTTCTTGTAGCGCTTCTAATGTAAATTACACACTAAACTTCTAACATTCTTGTCCATTAAACTTGCAAGTTTTCCTCAAGACTGGCGTATAACGGACCAACCATGACGTAGATTTCACCTGAGTGTTGAAGAGGTATTCAGTTCATATACGAGCTTCAGGTGGGGAATATTCACACACAGTCCCATACTACAAAGTTAGATGTTACCTGCTATATAAAAGAAGTAGAAGAAATTATACCAAAATCAAATGTGACGGTAAATACCGTTAGGTAATTTTTAAATCGAGATTAAAATTCGACACGCTCGTCATGGTTACGTCGCTTACATATTCGCATCGGTAGCCAGTTACAGGGAAAACATGGTTAATCTGCTTTAGTGTTAGAATAGTTTGCGATGCATATCATAAAATTGCACCCGGACTTTCTCTGATGAAATCCTACTTTCACCTAAAAAGATTTGTGAGTCATTTAGGTAGATAATCGTAGGACGACTACACGGATACCGCACCTGTTCACCGGATAATTCCCCTTACCGTAGCTTAAATTGCAAACTTTCCCCTTCGTTTAGGAAACCATTTACTTACATGACTTAAAAAAAATGGTGTATTACAAAATAGTACCAAATAAAATAAGGTTATTATTAATAATAAAAGCAGATATAACATTAGCAAAAAGATGCATTCATTGTGTTCCCTGTGAATGAAGAAATGAAAGAAAGCAATGAACTGTTAGAAAGTGGGAATTCCCAGTTGTTGATTTGTAAAATCCTATGCATGATTTTAAACAGGATTTGTTCCGCATATATGGATCTTCTCTATTTTGATTTTCTAAATACTACTTTCTTATGCTCAGGTATACCGAGATGGACAAAAGTATGGAACCAGAAGTCTGTGGAGTTATAACATCAGTAACCAAAATTTACACAACACTTTTTGCATTAGATCAAACTCAGCACCTTTAAAACTACGTATCACTGTACCACAATAAGCTTCATAGAGTACTTCTTGTCTAAAAAAGGTTAGGCAATATAATTAATATTTTGTAAGTATAGTTTTGATTACTAATGCCTTTCTTCCGTTTAGTTTTGTTTCTGATATCTCGGTTGTCTTTGAAAGAAAGATATCAAAGCTCATATTTTGTTGTCATAAAAATTGAAATAAAGCAGGTGTCCTCCCAAAAGTTGGATCTGAAGATTGTTTGGTTACTGCAGCAAGAACGACGTTCATTGCATTCAACCCATCGTTGTCCTGCGAAGCATCTCCAAAAACGCCTCGTTTTGTAGTATCCCAAAAATCATCGTGAATATAAGGCAGACAATACTCCAGTTCAAACGATCTATAAAATAGTCCGCATGCAATCGTCGTTCCAAACTTACTGAGGTCCTATAGTTGAATATGTAGGTTTAACTTTAAGGCGCCTATGAACTGGAATAAAATTCCTAAACAGTGTGTAAAGTTACTTAATTCAGAAAATAGAAATAAGGCAGGTTTACCTTTGAAAGACAAAAAGGAATTGAAATAAAGCAGGTGTCCTCCCAAAAGTTGGATCTGAAGATTGTTTGGTTACTGCAGCAAGAACGACGTTCATTGCATTCAACCCATCGTTGTCCTGCGAAGCATCTCCAAAAACGCCTCGTTTTGTAGTATCCCAAAAATCATCGTGAATATAAGGCAGACAATACTCCAGTTCAAACGATCTATAAAATAGTCCGCATGCAATCGTCGTTCCAAACTTACTGAGGTCCTATAGTTGAATATGTAGGTTTAACTTTAAGGCGCCTATGAACTGGAATAAAATTCCTAAACAGTGTGTAAAGTTACTTAATTCAGAAAATAGAAATAAGGCAGGTTTACCTTTGAAAGACAAAAAGGAATCTGTTCAAGCACGTAGGTATACAGTTGGCATGGGAGGGCTTCACGTTCAACGTTCCCCCCTCCACCTTATGATAAATTTTAAACGTACTTTTCAAAAATTTATTAATAAATTTATAAAACGGCGTGAAACAAGTTTATGTATATAATAATAATAATAATAATAATATATATATATAATACATCGACATGATCAGGTAGCTAAAATCATACATCAAAAATTAGCACTTAAACACAATCTCATAACAGATACGACACCATACTACAAATACACAGATCATACTTGAAAACAACACACACAAATTATATTGGGACAGGACACTACTCACAGACAAAACTATCCACAATAATAGACCAGATATTACACTTATAGATAAAACGCAAAAATCCATTTGTATTATAGACATTGCCATACCCAACACTAACAACTTAACTAAAACACATGCAGAAAAACACCGCAAATACACCGATATAGCTATCGAGCTTAAGACGCAATGGAGAATGAAATCTACTGTTATAGTTCCCATTATTCTTAGTGCTACTGGAGTTATACCAAAGACAATACACCACAATTTACAACTATTAGGTTTAGACAAAAACACATACAAACATTTACAAAAAGCAGTCATTATCAACACATGCCATATTGTTCGTAAATTTCTAAACATAACACAAGATACTACATACACAAATGATCCACAACGTATACATGTAAACAACAGTACTCGCTCACAACACGGTACACAACATACTGTAATATCTCCACCTCTAACCCAAACAAACACACAAATACAACTTACCGAACAAACAAGTACAACAAATGATACAACATATACTACAATCAGAGATTCACCTCTGAAGCAAACCACATTATCACGACCCATTAGTATTCAACCCAAACGCAAAAGCCTAAACAGCACTTTAGACTCACAACATAACACACAACATACTGTAATATCTCCACCCTTAACTCAACCAACCACACAAACACAACTTCCTGAACAAACAAACGCAATAAATACAAGTAACGCAACATGCACTACAAAGACGCCCTTACTCAATAAAGTTACACGGCCTAGCACAGCTAAAAAACACAATACTCTTTCTTCTCAGAAACACACCACGTTATCACAACCCACTCGTACTCAACCCAAACGCAACAACCTTAACAGCACTACAGGCTCACAAAATACTGTAACGTCTCCACAAATAACCCAAGCAACCACACAAATACAACCTCAAGAACAAAGAAACACAAGAAATACAAGTAACGCAACATGCACTACAAAGACAGGTCCACCCAATAAAGTTACACGCCCTAGCACAGTTAAAAAACACATAACTCCTTCTTCACAGAAACACACCACGTTATCACAACCCACTCGTATACAACCCAAACGCAAAAACCTAAACAGCACTACTAGCTCACAAAATACTGTAATATCTCCACCAATAACCCAAGCAACCACACAAATACAACCTCAAGAACAAAGAAACACAATAAATACAAGTAACGCAACATGCACTACAAAAACAGGTCCACCCAATAAAATTACACGTCTTAGCACAGTTAAAAAACACAATACTCCTCTTTCTCAGAAACAACCCACTCGTACTCAACCCAAACGCAAAAACCTAAACAGCACTACTAGCTCACAAAATACAGTAATACCTCCACCAATAACCCAAGCAATAACACAAATACAACCTCAAGGACAAAGAAACACCATAAATACAAGTAAGGCAACATGTACCACAAAGACAGGTCCACCCAATAAAGTTACACGTCCTAGCACAGTTAAAAAACACAAAACTCCATCCTCACCGAAGAACACCACGTTATCACAACCCACTCGTATTCAACCCAAACGCAAAGCCAAAGAAACACTTACACAATAAACTCCATTTAATAAAATTACAGGAATTATTATAATGATTTTTGTTTTGTTTTGTTTTCCTCTTTCCTGATAGCGTTGGCTTATTGTGCCCATGTGTGGGGTTTTTTTTTTAGGACCCTACATAACTTCACCAGACACAGACACAGACACTGATCGTTACTTGATTTTAATCCGTGCGATTAGTTAACCAGGCTAGACCTGAGTTCTCACAAGAAACACCGACCATAATAATAATCATGTCGTATATTAAATCACGCTAATCATATAAGGTAACAATAATATCTTAATAATAATATGTACAAGTGTGCAATTTAAAAGGGCGAAGTTCAGATGCTAACGGGAAATCCATTAGCCCTGCTCTTCCACTTAACCCTTTGCATTGTAGAAATTAAATTAAATTATACGTGAAGTTAATTATGTGAATATAAAAAAAAGAAAAGAATTTACTATTATAACTAGCATAAGCGTGCTTGCTTATGTAGTGTTGACCATTAGGTATATATAAACTTATAAAATGTATTATGAAGAAAATTTGAAACAATTTGGGATTCTTATTAATCTTATGTAAGAAGAACGACAAAGGGAAATAACAAGTAAATGAGTAAGTGGAAGAGTAATAGTAGAAGTAAAGAAGTAAAGTATTAGATAAGAAATAAATAACGACTTCATCACACGCTACGAGGAACTTTGACATTTTAGCAGGAAAGTGTACAAGTTTTTTTTTAAGATGTTGATAGCCATATTTTTTAAGACACCAGGTAAATCGTTATAGAGCTTGGCAATGTTATAGGAAAAACATCTTTCAAACAATGCACTTCTGTGAAAAGGAGGCTTTATTAGAGAGGTATATTATCTTGAATTTGTACAAAATTGGATCTTGTCAAATAGATATGCAGGTTCTTTACTTACAACTATTTTGTGAAATAGTACAGATGAATGAAACTTTCGTCTATTTGCCATATTTAACCAACCCAATGCCTCTAGCTTGTGAGATATATGTTCGTACTTTCGAATTCCGAAAATTAAACGCATACACGAGTTTTGTATTCTCTGTATACGCCGAATATCTACACTATCTATACAAGCTCCGTATATAACATCACAGTAGCTAAATTGTGAAAGAACTAAAGCCTCACACAACATTATTTTTATCCTTTTATTAAATATGTGCCTATTATTATATATGATCTTTAGATTGCTGAAAGCTCTTTGAACAATATGGGCTACATGGGTTCTAAATCTTAGATCTACCTACATCAATATGCACACCTCAATTTTTGACACATGGCCTTGGGGAAAGTGTAACATCTTTCACAGTTATCTTAATGTCATTAGCCACAGTGTTTCTGGCTTTAGTTCTTCCAAAAAGAATGGTTG